ACCACAGCTCAGGGACTTCGTCGCTCGCTCCTTGACCTATGCTTGAGGACTGCCTTGATCACTCTCTGACCACAGCTCGAGGACTTCGTCGCTCGCTCCTCGACCTGTGCTCGGGGACTGCCTCGATCACTCTCTGACTACAGCTCGGGGACTTCGTCGCTCGCTCCTTGACTTGTGCTCGGGGACTGCCTCGACCACTCTCCGACCACAGCTTGGGGACTTCGCGTCTCGACTACATGCGACTGGTGACTCACATACAGTTGGGATATTTTTTCTCCTTTAGACCTTGCTACAAGGCTCATACCTCTCCTTCCAGCAAGCTCGGGGACTACATTGATGCGATGCACCGATGGTGCATCTTTGTATCTAATTAACAAGACTTTTTAGACCACGGCACCACGCTTCCCTCGTCACCTACTACCGGGCTCGGGGACTAAGTGGGCACACTTCACTTTGCGGTGAATGTGCTTATTTTATTCGACCCCTCACGCCCTGATCGTGACCATAACTATTCCTATCTGAGGGTCACTTACATTTCTTTTCGTAAATACAAGTGGGCACACTTGATCGTGAAAGAAATCTTTTTTTTTTCTTTAGAGCACCATGCATTCTTTGGACAACCGGAATCTTGATTTGTAACCGTGGTCAATCGCTCTATGTCTTTGACTAGAATCTCGGCATATTTGCTTGGTCAATGTTTCAACCAGTTGGAGATGACATGAAGATAGATCGCGTTAGCCGAAGAATATCAACCGGCCTGTCGCAACATAATACATGGTGCTCGGGGACTAGCTGTGGGGGTATTAACCCCTATACCCTTACGGCTAGGTTTGGGCCGTCCCGGACCAGGGGGTCCGGCCCACCAGAAGACGATGCGCGGCCCAGCCGATTTGCTTGGAGTCCCACGCAAGGAATCAAGGCAGACTTGGAGATCAAGCAAGATCCTGGTCGGTTAGAATAGGAATCCTTATCCGGCTACCTATGGCAATTGTAACCGGTTAGGATTAGTTTCCAGATCTGTAACCCTACCCCCCAGACTATATAAGGCGGGTAGGGGACCCCTCTCAAAACATCACATCGCAATCTCATTGACAAACAGCAATACAATCAGACATAGGATGTAGGTATTACGCCCTCACGGCGGCCGAACCTAGATAAAACCTCGTGTCTGTCTTGCGTCACCATCTGTTCGTAGCTTGCACACCTGTCTGCCGATAATCTACTACCTTGGGCATACCCCTAGGTAGACTGCCGACCATATTTTGTCGACAGGTAGGGATATGGTTTAGGTATTGGTGGGTGTAAGAGGTTGTGTCGCTGTGGACGTGGGGCATGGCTTGGTTACACTATTTTCCCTGTCTGTGTCGGTTAAGGACCGATCGTTGAAATAGACGCTAGGCAAGTCATAGATTTATTATCCCGAGCACATACTTGTGTATGGGCGCTTGGAAGACTTGTTGCTCTCTTATCGTGGTTTCCGACTCTTTCCGAACCGACTGTCAGGGTTTTATTTTGGTGGAGGAGGTCCTTGCACCGCACTGAGTCCGGGACTCAGGGGCGGGGGCTTGAAGTCCCAGTTTGGACGAAGACCTAGGACCCCAAGACAGGAGGGTGATGGGTTGGTCCTGCTTGTGCCCGTGGTACAAGCAGGGTGTGTGTTTTTAGGGTACCCAGCTGGAGACATTGGTTCGTGAATCGCTGCCGAGTTGGTACGACTTGTCTTAACTCTAGCACCGTAGTAAGAACTGGAAGATGAAAGATGGAAAGAAAAGGAAATCTGATTGCTTACCACATACTTGAAAGTAGCATAGGTGCTTACATAGAATGGTTAGTTAATGAACTAATGCGGCTATTAATAAAAACCAAATATAAGGACTCATGCTTAGTAATGCTTCTTGCAAAGGCAATAAACCTACAAGCCAGATAGCCTTACATATCCTTGGAGTCTTTTCTTTCCTCCTATCGGGTAAGTCTTGCTCAGTACAATTGAGTACTCAGGGTTTTATTTCCCCTGTTGCAGGTGACAGGTGGATGCTAGAGCTGACTCTTATGTGTGGATTCCTCCTGGTGGGCTCAGAGAGGATTCCTTACGCTCCGATCGTAGTTTTTATTTATAACTCTTACTAAATGTTGTTATAAAGGAAAGTTTTATAACCTGTTGTCATAGTTTATATATCAATGCTTCATCATGCCATGAATAGATAATCATTTCCACTGTAATTCTGATCACATGTTTATATTCCACTGTTACATTAAATTGTTCATAACTCTGATAATATGTTTACATTCCGCTGTTATAATAATAAATGTTATACTCTGATGTTGTATTAGAAGTGATGTAAGAAATTGTTAAGAATGATGTAAGCTTTATTCTCTCATTTGTGATCCTGATGGCAAAAATGTGGATTTTCGGGTTCTCCCCTAGGGTGTGCCTGACGGAACCGAGTAATTTAGTGTTCTCCCCCGAGTGCTTAGTGTCTAATGGAAGGCAAGCACTCCTAGGAGGCATTAGATTAGGCGGTTCTACCACACATATTATCTAGTCAACCGATCAAATAAAGTAAATCACTAGCCATGCATGCCTAAATAGAATCCATTATTCAATATGTGGTGGAGCATGGAGTCCACAAAAAGGTTGTCGTCACCTTTGAGATCTTCCATCTACTAGGAATGCATTGGATTCTTTTGGTTCATCCTTGGTCTAATATAACACAAAAATAATCTAAATAAATAATGGTTGCTACTACGAGCAATAAAACATTAGCAACAGGGACAAGTATAATATCCAATAACTCAAAACAGAGCATCCGGTAGATAGATTATACTTTTAGAAAGCAATCAGTACTTATTTCACATTTTTATTTAAAATTATGAATTATTAAGGTTTAATCATAGTTCTATGGCAAAAATCACTTTTGAAACTAGTTGATAGCCAAAGTTGCCCATTTTTAGTTCAATGGTAAAAGATATCTAGTTTTGGAGTTTGATGATGGCCAGAACTAGACTCTAGCGATAGTTTAATGGCCAAAAATAGACTTCATCAGATAGATCACCCTCCTTTTTCTAAGGGACATCACTTTGTGTTGGTGGCTACGAATTATTTCATGAAGTGAACCAAAACTGTACCTTTGAAGAACTTGACACGCAAGGAGGTAATTGGATTAGTTACTAATCATATTATTCGTAGGTTTGGCATACCTCAAATTTCAAAAACGGACCAAGGTTTTTCTTTTTTCGAAAGAGGTATGTGAATTTGCTGAGCTATATAAAATTAAACGGCTCAATTCATCCCCATATTACACTCATGCAAATGTGGTTAGGCTGAGTTTAGTAATGAGAGCTTAATCAAACATGTGTCAAGAAGAAAATTGAGGATAATCCTAGGAGATGGCATGAAGTTTTGTCCAAGAATTTATGGGCTCACGGTATATCTACAAATGGTGGTACTAATGTTACCCCGTTTGAGATGGTGTATGGACATGAAGCAATGTTGTCGGTCGAGGTAAACTTGGCTGCATATATATTGTCTAAACAGAATGGCTTATATGGTATTATGTATCATGAATTGATGATGGACAATGTCGATAGGTGACTGGTGAAAGAATGAAGGCTTTGAGACTTTGAAGGAGATCAAGAGAAACAAAACTTGTGTTGCCAAGGCCCACGACAAGAAGATTAAGAGCAACTCATTTTAGGTTGGTGATCTAGTTTGGAAGAGTGTTATGTTTCTCCAAACAAAGAGAAACAAAATTGGCAAGTGGTCTTCAAGTTGATCGAGAAGGTCCATACAAGATGTCCAAGAGCGTCCTGGAGAATATAAGGCCGCCCATGAGGGATTGAGGATATTCAATCGATCAAAAATACAAATAGATATACTTTTTCACATCTTAAACCCTAATCTCCTCCAAACCCCAGTTATTATGCCATTCTAAACTTTTCATGATGAGATTTGTGCACGTTTAGGTGGACTTTGTCGATCGATGTGTCTTCCTGGAGGCGTCTTATATTTTTGAGCAAAATCGCCTAGAATCAATAAGTATAAATGAATCTTATAATAAGTATAAATGAATGTTAGTATAATAGACGGACTCTTCCATTTCCGTGGTAAGGCTAGATCTATTATTTTTCATTTTCTATTTATACTATAGCAAACTTGTCCATACATTACAATGGAATATATCTTGTTGTGTAGCTACCTCCGAATGTATATCTTGTTGCAGCTACCTGGACGACCTGGCTCATCTGTTTCGGTATGTATTAGAATTAGATTAGGCTCATATCCTTGGCAAATGCACAATGTATAGCCTGTTGCGCAGTTACCTAGATGATTTGTGCGATCATGTCATATATTCCAATGTGTCTTGGAATCGGATTGTATACCGTCATCGGACACATTTTCGAATTGGACTATTTCGTTAGACGTATGTTGTTCTAACTCGTATATGGACGGGTTACTGTTCTAACTCGTATAAAAACATGTCATAACTCCAGATTAAATATATGTGACATACGGAGAGCTTAAGGGCACTTTGGGAAATTAGAAAAGACGTTTATTTTTGGTTGCACATGACGGTTTTAGAGTATGGTGGATCCGGAGTTAAAGTTTCGTTTCCTCCCGTCAACAGTGTCCAATCCAAATACACATGACAGATACACACGGATAGCCTTTGGCTTACACGTAACCCAAGTAGTTTCCGCCAGCCTTGGCGCCTGATGACGCGGCTTCATCGATCTCATTAGCTGAATAACCGCATGCTATCCTTTTATTATCCTATCCGGTTCCGTTCAACAAATTAAACCCCCTCCTCCAACTCCAATGAACCCCGTCAACACCCCCCAGCCTTATCCGTCGGTCTCCCTCCTCTATTTAAGCCGCCTATAGCTCCTCGATCCCTACCGCGTAATCCTTTCGTTATCCTCCTCGTTATCCATTGTTAATCCATCCACTAATTCAGACTCAGTATAAGTACGTTGTGCCTGATCTAGCTAGAGATACAACAATGGCCGGGGGTTTTGCCGTCTCCAAGTCCGGCGCCGACCGCCGGGAGTTCAAGGGCAAGATCACCTGGTACGTCTGGATTTGCGGCATCATCGCCGCCACCAGCGGCCTCATGTTCGGCTACGACATCGGCATCTCCGGTAAGATCGAGCTCGCGTTCTGATGATATGGATCGATGGTCGTCTAGATCTGATCTGACCAAAGTCGTTGTTCAATGCATGCATATGCAGGTGGAGTGACGGCCATGGACGACTTCCTGCTGCTCTTCTTCCCATCCGTGTACGCGCGGAAGCACCGCACCAAGGAAAACAACTACTGCAAGTTCGACGACCAGCGTCTCCAGCTCTTCACCTCCTCGCTCTACCTGGCGGCGCTGGTGGCCAGCTTCGCGGCGTCGCGCGCGTGCACGCGGTTCGGCCGCAAGCGCACCATGCAGGCCGCCTCCGTCTTCTTCCTGGGCGGCACGGCGCTCTGCGCCTTCGCCACCAACCTCGCCATGCTCATCGTGGGCCGCGTCTGCCTCGGCGTCGGCGTGGGGTTCGGCAACCAGGCGGCGCCGCTGTTCCTGTCGGAGATCGCGCCGGCGCACATCCGCGGCGCGCTCAACATCCTCTTCCAGCTCAACGTCACCATCGGGATCCTCCTCGCCAGCATCGTCAACTACTTCGCGTCGCGCGTCCACCCGCTCGGGTGGCGGTACGCGCTGGGTGGCGCCGCCGTCCCCGCCGCGGCGCTGTTCCTGGGATCGCTCGTCATCACCGAGACCCCCACCAGCCTCGTGGAGCGCGGGCGGGACGACGCCGGGCGCCGGACGCTGGAGAAGATCCGCGGCACCGCCGACGTGGACGCCGAGTTCGAGGAGATCCGGGCGGCGTGCGACCTGGCGCGCGCGCTCAGCGAGGAGGAGAAGCCCTACCGCCGGCTGATGCGGCCCGAGAGCCGCCCGCCGCTGGTGATCGCCGTCGCCATGCAGGTGTTCCAGCAGTTCACGGGCATCAACGCCATCATGTTCTACGCGCCGGTGTTGTTCCAGACCATGGGCTTGGGGACAGACAGCTCCCTGCTGTCGTCCGTCGTGACCGGCGGCGTCAACGTGGTGTCCACCGTCGTCTCCATCATCCTCGTCGACAAGGTCGGCCGGCGGAAGCTCCTCCTGGAGGCGTGCGTGCAGATGCTTGTGGCGCAGACGGCCGTGGGCGGGATCATGCTGGTGCACGTGCGCGCCGACAACGAGCCGAGCCGGTCGTGGGCGGTGGCCATCGTGGTGCTCATCTGCGTCTACGTGTCCAGCTTCGCCTGGTCGTGGGGCCCCCTGGGCTGGCTCATCCCGTCGGAGACGTTCCCGCTGGAGACGCGCACGGCGGGGTTCTCGTTCGCCGTCAGCTCCAACATGCTCTTCACCTTCCTCATCGCTCAGGCGTTCCTGTCCATGATGTGCTCCATGCACGCCTTCATCTTCTTCTTCTTCGCCGTGTGGATCGTTGCCATGGCCACGTTCGTGCTCGCACTCCTGCCGGAGACCAAGGGCGTGCCCATCGACGAGATGGTGGACAGGGTCTGGCGCCGCCACTGGTTCTGGAAGAGGTGCTTCGCCAACGCTGACGAGGCCAGGGTCAACGACAACTGCTAGTAGTGCTGATCAATATTTGGATTGTTGATTATAAAACTTTTTAATTGTCATTTTAATTACTAGAAGACCGGCCTGATTAATTGTGATTTGATGGTGATAATGACGATGATCAATGCGAGGTGTACCTATTTGACTGTTGCTCCGACATTAATATGTATCTCGAGTTTTCAGGTTATTGAATCTTTTTCATCATGCGAGACGAAATAATAATCTCGCAACTCCGGCACAAAGTTCAGCCAGAATTTATTTCATTACACATTATGAACCTATATTTGGTTCACATCTTAGGAAAGCTACACAGGCAGCAATTCCAGACTTGCAACCAAACACACCATACATGCATACTCCTTCCGTTCTAAAATCTCCAAAACAATGACGCTATTGGGTGTTGATTTAACTTTTTCAAATTTGACTAGATTTATAAAAAAATATTAGCAATATTTATATCACTAAATAAATTTATTATGAAAATAAAATAGATTCAATGGTTAATCTAATGATACTAAGTATGCATTATAGATATTAATATTTTTATATATAATTGGTCATACTTAAAAATGTTTCACTTCTCGAAAAATGAGAATTACAATCTTTGTGAGACCGAGGGTCGTGAAGATTAGAGAGAAATCGACCAAATTTAGATGTTATTTTTTGTCATGAGAAATTAAAGGTCATTAGCATACAATAAGACTTAAATCTCTTTCAAGATTAAAATAAGCTAGTTTCAATCTCTTAATGTGTGATGCATAAAGCCATGCAGGCACGCGTGTGTAGGATCGGATCGAGTTGCTTCCTAGCTATTCTCTTGCTTGTGGTGACACGTGTAGTACCAGCAATTAAAGTGTGTGGCTACATATCCATGCACCGTGATCCGCTTATCGTGGCTTATACTTGTAAACAGTTGCACGTGAGGAGAGACAAGGATCGCCAAAACGCTAACAGCTACATCTCTCTCACAAGTCTCATAGCGAGTGTAGATATAACTTTCTAGATAACTACACATCAGCTTATGCTTTTACACGGGTTAATTAGGTCTTTTTTTGCGAATCGTCATAGTACAAATTCAGACATAAGTATGTACACATACTCACTTTACCCTTATGAGCATCTCTGAAAGGTTGAATCCAACCAACTGAGATATGCTCATTTCATGGATTAATTAATTAGGTTTTCATTAGAAGAATACTTATTTGGGCCGAGTACCAAGAAGTTTAGATCCTGTTTATTTGTTTTAGCTAGAAATTATATTATGAAAAGTACCTTATATTGACCATAGATTGGTGAAGACAGGATTGTGTACGTTGAGGTCCAAAAGAGCTGAAACAAATATAGTCCCTATGTCGCCGAATTTTGGTTAGATTCGTCAATTTTGGCCAGGCCTGAGATAAAATCGAACAGGCCAAAATATTTCAGTCCAACTTAAATTCCGAGCCCATTCCAGGATTCAGCAACAGCCCACGAAGCTATAGAACCCTCCTCACGAACTAGCAGCTTCCGCTCCCTGTGTCGCCGCCAATAGAGCCAACTCTGTTCCCTGCCGCTTGCTCTAGCGCCCTGCTGCCACCCCTCACTCCATGGCTGCTCGTCTCCCCTCCCGAAGCACACGCCGGTGCAGCTCCTCGACACCCGTGCCCACACCGTCGTAGCTCCTTGCCATGCCATCACCTCTCCCTGCCACTGTTGATGTGCCGTCGCTGCTCCCCACCGCCAACTGTTGCACGGTAGCTGGTCCTCACCGCCCACACGTTCCAAGAAGACGCCAAAGACGCCGCACACGCCCCCCTCCATGCCAACCGCCATGTCTTGCCGTCTGGGACACATTTTGTTTAAATTTACCTAAATTTCATTCAAATTTGATTTGTTTGACTGGTCAACACAAGTGAATACCAGTCCAATTTTTTTCCGAATTTCATCTATTTCGGTGGGCTCCGAAATTTTCCCATAAATGAATCCCAGAACGGGAGAGGTGGGAGAGAGAAAAAGAGGAACCGATATTATGAGAGAGTGGAGAGGACGGGGAGGCAGCCCCACCCTTCCGTATCCACATTGTCTGCCTGTTCGCTTGAATTTATCAGCCGGCTTATCAGCTAAAATCTACAGTATTTTTCTATCACAAAAAATCAGTTTCAACCGGCTTTAATACCAGCCGAACAGGCCCACGTGTGTCCAGGCCTATCGTCGACGGGCCTACCTCCGCCGCCCTACCTGGCTCACCGCCTGCACTTGTGTCACCAAATTTGTTGCCTTGCGTGCTGCACATTTGATAGATAGATAGATAGATAGATAGATAGAGATAGATATAGAGAGAGAATACAAACTTGAAGCACACTGAGAATGATGTTTGATGCTTGCAAGTTGCAATATCATGAAGCGAGGTAATTGAGTTGCCTATGGATAATTGTATTCCTAAAACATTGAAGCTAACACATTGCCTCAATTATTAACGAAATAAATTTGAGTATACTTGCACAGGCGCTCAGAATCTCTACTCATTTGAGAGTCCACCTGTATAAGATAGAACAGATCATCGTCCTGTTTGTTTGGGTTTGTTTACCTTATAAGCCGTACTTTTTCAGCGAACAAACAATATTTTCCTCTCACACAAAATCAGGCAATAGTACTTTCAACCATGGCTTATCAGCCAAACAAGCACAAACGAACAGGGCGCATGTCTCTGGCTTAATTTGAAATTCATGCCTTAGACTCCTCTTTTCTATCTCTGTGTCCCATCCCAAATACCCGGACACCATGCATCATGATGGTTATGAATAAGGTAGAGGAATTTTCCTAGCTTTCTTCCACCATTCTATGAAAATTGGTTGTGTCGGTATGCAAAGGAAAGGTGAAAGTGGCAATGTGCCACGGATGGAGCTTCTTATATGTTGCAGCGATAAATATATACATGTATGCATGAGCTATAAATATATATTTATATATCTTTTGTCAATCATGAAATTTTCCCCCTTAACAATCCATATATCAATAACACTAACAAACTATTAGATACAAAATTTAGATTCATCACATCATGAGACTGTAATTTTCTGTTAGTTAGATCCCATGCAGTAGCATGTGTTGATGGATAAGAAAAGAGAAGCACAATTATCTGATATTTAGCACAGTTATTCATGTGATTCATTGTTACGTCAACAAAGATTGCTTTACCGACAGCTAAGCAGATGATAATTGCAGTGGGCAAAACAACAAACAACCCCCCCTGTTCGGCTGGTCACAAAAGCCGGCTTGTTCGGCTTCTTTTTTCAGCCAGAACACAGTGTTTTTCTCTCACAACAATTCAGGCAGAACATTATTTTTCAGCCAAATTTAGCTGGGGGTGGAGTAGTTTACATGAATAAAAAAAGGTGATCTGCCAGCAATCAGTACAAATATCACTGTTAATTAACAGGCTACGTGGTCAGCAGGCTTATCTGTTATAGTATTGTTGTGTGCCCCTATCCGCTAGTATAGGCTGTCACGTATTAGTTGGCCTATACGAATATAAAGACCGAACCTGAGATCAATACTCCCTTCTCTAAATAAATCAATTTCTAAAATCCGTCTCAGTCCAAATTTTAAAAGTTTAACTAACTATATAGAAAAAGTAACAACATCTATGACATAAAATGAGCACATTATAAAAATATATTCTTTGGTAAATCTAATGGTACTAATTCGACACCATAAATCTTAACGTTTTTTTTCTATAAATTCGGTCAAAGTTTAAAAAGTTTGACTTAAGACAACTCTAGGAGTCTATTTATTTAGGGACGGAGGAAGTACACAGTACAGACTTGTTGGCTCATCTTTCTCTCAGTATGGCTTTCTTTCTTCACTCGTTCATGGTGTTAGAGCAGTGTTTGGAATAGTTGGTCAATCCCTCTTCTCGACCCCTCATCACATCCCCTGAAATGCAGACGACGTTTGTTTCTCTGAGTCGTCCAATCCACCCTAGCGTCGTCCCACAAATCGCAGGCCGGTCAACTTCGCGAAGTTGGGCAGCAGGTTTGCAGTTGTGATCAACGAGACCTCGTCTGTCAGAAATACCAGTCTGATTCTGATACTCCTCTTTTCTATCCCAGTGTTTCCCATCCCTGAAGGAAGTAATATCAGGACCTCGTCAATGGTTATTAGGTAGACGAATTTGCTCAGCATTCTTCAACCCATCACATGAAAATTGCTAATTTGTGTCGGTACGCTAAGGGAAAGAGGTAAGCAAAAATGTTTATGGTGGAGCGTGGAATGAGCTTCTTATATAGGCTGGATGGGGGTGATAGGTAGCTACGAACATTTGTTCTACTATCTCTGTCCCAGAATAAATTGATTTATAGAGTTGTCTTAAGTAAAACTTTTTAAATTTTGACTGAATTTCTAGAAAAAACGTTAATATTTATGGTATCAAATTAATATCATTAGATTCACAATGGAATATATTTTCATAATGTGATCATTTTATATCATAGATATTGTTATTCTTTTCTATAAAATTAGTCAAATTTTAAAAAGTTTGACTGGCACAGATTCTAGGAATTGATTTATTTAGGGACAGAGGGAGTACTATTAAGTTTGTAACATGCTTCCAATTTATGTTTTATGAGGAACAGTACAAAAGATTCAATTACTACTTCGAATGTAATTAGTTGTCAATTGTTATATATATGGTGCATATCCTCCTTTTTCAGTAACAGATCATAGCTCGCTCCTTTGGTACTTTATGTAGTCATCTATCCTTCTTGATATTTATTATTCGACTACAAGGGTGGATTTATTCCAGGATTTAACGGCGCTATGCTTTCAATGGTAGGCGACGTCCTCATTGACAGCGATGCGCCAGTGGTGACTTCGTGAATCTCGAGATCTGCTAGCTCAGTCCTTCCGAGGTGCTCATAGGGGTAGGGTTTGTGTACATGTGTTCATAGGGGTGAGTGTGCATGCATATTATGGACGTCTGTGTTATACTGTGTAATTTAAAAAAAACTAATGGCTTGATAGTCCGAGATAAT